TGCTGGGTGGGCTGCCCAGCTGGCAGGGCAGGGGCCGGTGCCTGGCTGGAGGGCAAAGGATGGGAAGCCTGCTGCTGATGCTGCTGCTGATGATGGTGTTGGTGGTGGTGCTGAAGATACGATACCCCCGCTGTGTGCATGCTCAGGTTGCTCTGCAATAACAGCAAAACATCTGAAGAATGTGTTCAGTCGGAGCAAAGCAGCGGCCGCTCCTGGATGTACCTGTATGGGCGTCTGCATGGCAGCCATGGGCTGGTCGATGGAGGTGAAGGCAGAGATGGCCGACATGAGGACGTCGTCGCTGACCAGCACGTTGCCTTGTACCAGAGTGTGAGTCAGAGGAGACGGAGGGACTGTTATATAGGTGGATACCTGATGGCAGAGCAGGATAGAAGGAATTTGAACAACTACAGAAAGCCTTTAGTAGGTTTTTAGCATTTTGTTGCAGATTTGATAATTAGCTTATCCAAATAATTAGTTTCTCGGATTAGCTAAGAACCATTTTCTTTTTGTGCCATTAAATATGCAGAGAAACACCAACTTTAAAACTTCTAGGTTTTCTTCTCATTTTTATTCTTTGTTCAATAATTATTACCTTCATTTAGCATAAATGACTGGCAGCCGATGAAAAAGATGAACATGGCAAATAACAATACAATAAATTATTTTAACATGTATTTTGCAGTTATGATTGAAAAACAGATTCATTTTTAATATTAAAAGAATATTAACATATTAAAATATTAACATTTTCTGATTAAAAAGACAATCGATCTCAAGTCTATTAATAAATCAGTCTGAAAGAATCCAAATTTGAATGCATGCCTCTATATATATATATATATATATAGAGGCATGCATATTAAGATATTAAGACTCAAAAACTACTAACCATGCATGCCTCTCTCTCTCTCTATATATATATATATAGAGAGAGAGAGAGAGAGAGAGAGAGAGAGGAGAGAGAGAGAGAGAGAGAGAGAGGCATGCATGGTTAGTAGCTTTCTAGTCTTAATATCTGTGGCTTTTATCTCCTCCTTTGGCCAGCTAATTATTCCAGCAGGGTATCTGATTACTGGCAAGGCATAGCTGTTTATTGCATGGATTTTGTTCTTGCCATTGAGCTGGCTTCTCAGGACTTGCCTTATTCGTTGGAGGTATTTAGCTGTGGCTCCTTTCCTTGTGACCTCATCAAGGTTGCCATTTGCTTGTGGTATACCTAGGTACTTGTAACTGTCCTCTATGTCTGCTATTGTTCCTTGTGGGAGTGAGACTCCTTCTGTGCGGATCACCTTCCCCCTCTTTGTGATCAGCCGACCACACTTCTCTAGTCCGAATGACATCCCAATGTCAGTGCTGTAGATCCTGGTGGTGTGGATCAGTGAGTCGATGTCTCGCTCACTGTTGGCGTACAGCTTGATGTCATCCATGTATAGAAGGTGACTGATGCTGGCTATCCCATGGATAGCCAGTCTTGATGATAATTTGACTGAGGGGGTTCAGGCCTATGCAGAACAGTAGCGGGGACAGAGCATCTCCTTGGTATATGCCACATTTGATGGACACTTGTGCAAGTGGTTTGCAGTTGGCTTCAAGGGTGGTTTTCCACAGCCTCATCGAGTTTGCAATGAAGGCTCTCAGAATCCTGTTGATGTTATTCATCTCTAGGCATTCAATGATCCAAGTATGCGGCATTGAGTCATAGGCTTTCTTGTAATCGATCCAAGCCATGCACAGGTTGGTGTGTCGGGTTTTGCAGTCTCAGGCAACTGTGCGGTCTACGAGGAGTTGGTGTTTGGCTCCTCTGGTATTTACACCGATACCCTTCTGTGCCGTGCTCATGTGTTTATCCATGTGTTTGCTTATCTTGGCCGCTATGATGCCTGACATGAGCTTCCAGGTTGTGGAGAGGCAGGTTATTGTTTGGTGTATAAATATACATATATGTGCGTGTGTGTGTGTCTATATGTGTGCGTTGTTTATTTTTAAAACAACAAGAGAATTGTTCCCCCTTCACTGTCAGTACATACTTGCTCAGGAGAAGGGATTACTGCAAGCAAAGTGAATAGAAAATCAGATTTGGGACATTTGTATGTTCTGCAATATCTTAGTTTCCACTGATATTCCTTAACCAAAAGGAAACAGGCCTACAACATCACAGATCCTTTTCCCACATACTTATTCTTTATGTTAAGTCGAACTCGGCTGGAAAGTCTGTTGCCACAAAGCTCAGTATTGATCACAACTGACCAAAACACATCGCTCCAGTTACAGTACACCCCACATGAGCCATCAGCAACTCTACACATCAATCAGCTTCCACTGCTCTGTCCTCACCTGTCTGTTGGCGGCAGTTTGGGGTACGGAGCCAACTGACGGGACTGGTGCGTAGGCGTTGGTCGAGGCCAGGGACACAGTGGATAGGGAGGGGGTGCCAGACTGGCACTGCTCCCTCTTGTGCATCATAAAGGCAGGCAGAGAGTTGAACTGTTTCTTACACTTCCCACACAGGAAAACGTCTTCGTCATCTGCAGGATTATTAAAACAACCAGTTCGGTTATTATTAGTGGCAAAAAAAATTCTGCTTGATGGATGACTGCAGATGAAAACGAGAGCAAACAGAATAATTTATACAAGCCGGTTCATCACTCTAAGCAGTGAATTCCTGCATATGTTCTCCTGATCGAATGGGACATTTGTAGTAACTCCTTCTTGAGCTCCATGCAGCAAGCAGTTTATTAATTAATCACCCAATGATATCAATTCTGATGATTTATAGTGTCTGTAAATTAGTTTGTTTACAGACACTTCACAATTCACTTTATTTCTGGTTTCTGTTATGTTATTTTTATCTATATTTTATTTATTGATTTTATTTGTTGTGCTTTATTTTGGATATTTAAAATATCTTCCTTAAATGTTATTTACTACATTTAAGTTTATTAGTCTTAAAATGGCAAAATTGCATTGCTAGGCCATTATCAATATATTTCACCCCAAACTGTCCTTTTTAAAAGAAAAGAACATAATCTGCAGAGTTAGGGGAAAACAATCATTTAGAAAGGTATTTTCCAGAATTTTTTTTTTCAACATTTTGATACAGATCATCCATCTGTTTAAGTTTGATTATCTTTTTTACACATAGTGTCCCAACTCCCTTCCAATTTCACTCCTCTTTTTATTTTTTTGCATCTGTATAACCTTCAATTACTTAGAATTTAGAAAACATGGTAAATGTGAACAGGACTTTGCAGAATCGATTATATTAATGTTTGTATAAGTATCCAAATTAAACCCCGTCCAGCTTTGAATTCAATTCAAAACATACAAATGAAAAGATGTAGAGGCCGCAAAGCTGTGAAATTGTCTTTTTCTGTTTACATTTTAACATTTCCTGACCAAAACTTGAGTTTTCTGTGGTGAGTGATCTCACATACCCATGGGCTGGATGGCCGGTGTCGCTGAGACATTTTGGCTGTTTGGGTCAGGAACTCCACCTTGACCATCCAGCAGTGACTGAACTGCCAGCACAGTCTGGTTGTCCATGCCTGAGGAACATAGAGAGATGAGGTCACTGTGACAAAAGTAGTTGTTTTCATTAGATGATGTGCGTTCTGAAATATATAGCAGCAGTTTTGATCCTTTACTTATTAATCAGGCAATTCTGAAAGCAGTTGGTTGCACCACATTTTATTTAGGGGTATCAGAGTAAGGCGGTCAGAATACAAATGTACGCCATATTTTCCAGAGGGTTTTATTTTTATTATTGTGATTATTATGATTATTATTATTAAGAAATGTTAAAAAAAAACTGTGTATTATTTTCCATTACAGTCCAGTTACATTTAGGCACTACTTTGTCCATCACACAAAAATCACAACAGAATATATCAAAGTTTTTGGTTATGTGATGTGGAAAATCGTGAACAGGTTCCAGAGTTTAAAAAAGATTTAGTTGTGCAAATGAAAAATCATTTCTGCAAAATGTTCAGCTTTCTTTGTGTTTACGTCTCCAATCACTGAGGTTTTGTACCCTGATTGCAAGTTGTACATGGGTTCAATGTTAATATGAAATCCTAAACACATCAGGCCTAAAATCGAAGCTTGAAACAACTGAGTAGACTTGTGACAGCGAGGGAAACGAATATCGCGTCAAACTCCGTCTGACAGAAAATGGCTGGATTGAAAATGGGAAAATATTTAATATCTGCTTGGTTGTTTACATATACACTTTCAGAGTTTTGCTGTTCTCTGCAATAATAAACGTCCAACTGAGATTCAGACATGTTTTTCTGATTTCCATAAAGACTACAAAATATATTTCTCAAAAATATCCTCAAATGCGCGACTGTCTTTAGGGTTATACAACAATAAAAGGAATATTACTACCTTCGAGCACCTCAAATATTGCCTGCGCCATCTTGAAGTTCTCCTTTTGTGTAATAGGCGCTCTACTAGCAATGCCTTCTGCTTGGTGTAAATACACAGTAGGCAAGAAAACGTGAGAAAAGCTTTTTAAACATGAAGGCTTCACGGAAAATTCAAGTATTGCTAAGTTATTGGGGGTGTGTTTCAATTAAGTTACAAAGTGCCATAGCTAATTATAAATATGTATAAAGTACCTGTATGAAAAATAAACTGAAAATAATGAGAGGTACTGGATTTTTAAGCTCAGTCTCAGCCATAATAGCAAATTTTGGTATTTGAAGGTTGATGTAAGTTACAGAAGTAGAAAATGAACAGGAATTTTGTGTATTTAGCAATTTTATTGAATAAATGTTGAATAAAAATGATTTTCTTCGCTGAAAATGAACGCAAATTCCAATCGAAGAATCTGTGCTCGCGCACATGACAGGCAGCTGTTCGCACCAATCAGAGCCAACCAGGCTCGCGTCGACCAATGGGGTTCGGACTTTCTCTCCACGTGCAGGTTTCGCGGCAAAAAAGATTTCGCGCGAAAACCGACCAACAGCTTGTTTGGATGTCGATCAGCTGGGACAATAACAACAAAACGGCCGAAAACTGGGTCGCGAGGACACTTTTACAGATCGGCCGCGCCCAGTGTGAGCGACCCGAGGACCTCAGCCTGTCGGTTTGATGAATGAACGTAGATTTTGGCTTTTTCATTTCGCGTTATTTTTTGTATGTTTTGTCGGACTGCTTCCTGCGTGCCCCAACAAAACGAGGGGAACGAAGACTATGCGGCTAAAGCTAACATGCTAATTCACCCTATACATCTATACGCAAATTAAATCTTGTACTTTCATCGATACTTACGCCTGGTTTCACAAATATACCGACAGAGATGATTTCGGCGCGTGGCGATGAGTTTTGGTCTGTAGATATTTTATGCTGATAAGCTAACTTCTGTAGGCTGCACTAAAGTTTCTTTAGCTAAATATCTGAGCTCTGGTTTCACTATAAAATTAAATAATGCCGTTGTAAGGTGGTTAATAGCTCGCTTAGCTGCTGCCCGGCTCATTTAGTGAACTTGTGTGAGTCTTTGTTGTCGAGCTATAAGTTAGCTTGTTAGCAGGACATCACAGTGGCCAGGCCGCGGCCGAACTCTGCTGACAGGAGGCTCGAAAACAAAAGATCCGCTCGCTCCTGAGCCAGCTCATTCATAACCAGCGGTCATCACCTCCACCATAACATTTTAAAAATCTTTTTAATAACATTCCTGCCTTTGAGTCTGTAGGCGTGGTGCGGATTATGCGATTAGGCAACGATTCTCAGTTGCCAATTTTTCTGTTTGGCAGAACATCCTGTTTTTCAGTTTCACCTCTAATCTACATTTGATTGATCAAATCAGTATTTCTAATTTAGATTTAAGTGACTAGGTCAACAACTTAAAGAAAAAAGGAGCTTTGCTTTTGAGAAAATGCTCTAACTCTTCTTGGAGCACACACACCTGAAAAGATTGCCTATTTTGCACCATAACATTTAGGGGCCACTACAAATGCCAGTAGGTGTTGGTCCTCTTTCACAGCACGGCATCGCAGCGCACCCAGAGTCCAGTCCACCATGTCAGAAACTCTGATAACAGGGCAAACGTCGGAGGATCTGCTGGCAGATTTTGAGACGCTGCTGAACTCTGGGACCATAGACCTGGGTGAGGAGCATCAGATAGTGATCATCACCAGCCCCAGCAACGAGGGGCTCCACCCGGCCGTCGCCCCGACCAGCACAGGGGAGATCCTGCTCTTCGCCACGCCACAAGGCCCCGCCGACGGAGGGGTCCAGGACAAGAGGCGGCCGGTTCTCGGGAGACCTCCGGTGAGAAGAATGAGGGATGGGAAGTTGAGGGGAGGGCGGGGTGAGACAGAGCGAAAGAGCAACAAGGGAAGTGGTTAAACGAGGGCTTTCAGATGTTCTGCAGTGCAGCAGAGCTCGTCCTAAACCTCAGCATCTGTTGCTTGAATGCATTTTGTTTTGCACATGTGCATTCTCCCATGATGCAACACCTCTAAATAATCTAATACAGTGTAATAAACCTCCATTGTAACATGTTCTCTCCTCCACCTGCCTGTGGTCAGGTAAAGAGGAAGTTGGACCTGGACAGCGACCATCAGTATGTCAGCACCACGCGACCAGCCACAGGCCAAGTGCCGCCCTCCACACCTGCTCCTCCTAGAGGTAGACGCATTTAAAAAAAATGGTTCAGTAGTTAAAGGTACCAATGGTGGCTTTTCTCTGCATTCAGATCACATTCAGTGACATGCAAGTTTTCACACCATTCACCTTCAAACTTCTACTCACAGTGCAACCATAAACTATGACACATTGTATCAAGGTTTTATATGATTAACATAAAAATATGATATGGGGAATAAAAATGTGTTGACCTCCCTTTACTCAAAAACAGAACACAAGCATTTGCTTTCTAATTAGTAAGTTATGCCTAATTGTGTGCAATTTATTTGATCTTTGTTCATTGAGATGCAAGATCTCATTTACAAGAAATAAATGCTTTTATGAAATAAACAAAATTACAAACACAATGCAAGTAGTTAACAACTATGTCTCAGTTAAAAAAACTAGCACAAATTTAAAAAAAAGTTTTCTCTTTTTGTATTAGAACAGAACAGAGTTAGAAAATGCTTTAGTACAACTTCAGACTGCACTAACGAAATGCTGAAAGTATAAATTTGTCTGTTTTGTGAAGGCCTCAGAGGTTTGTTTAGAAAACAAATAGCATCACCAACACAAGAAATAGGCTTTAAGTGATGACAGACTTTTGCTGGGGAGAGATCAATAAATTTCACAGAGATTAATAAACTTTAAATTCTAACAAACATCCTGGAACTGGAAGAAATTTTAAATATCTAAAATAAATAAAACAGAAACAATAAATAAAATGGACTTTAAAGTTTCTGTAAACAAAATTGTCCTTCAAAAAAGGAATAATTGAGACCAAAGTACCAGACTGAAGACTTTTAGTAGAAAAGACTTTTTGGTAGAAAGAGAGAAAAGAGAAAAACAATAAATCATGTAAATGGAAATTACTGAACTCAGATTACTTTATTCTGTGATTCATTGATTTATTGTGACAGGCCTAATAAAAACACTAAACCACTGTTCAGTGTGTCATCCTAACATGGAAATATGCAGTAAGGCAACCCTGTCAGGACATGACTGCTGTCCGGATGTGAGAGTCTGCCGACAGGAATGCAGTTTAGTGAAGCTATCCACAAATCTGACTGTTAAAAACGGGCAGGAAAGAAAGTCCTAAGAAATCCTTTTTGTAAATTGCCACAAGACAGGTAGGGAAGATGACAAACATATAATAGGAACTTTTTTAATGTTATGCATGGTAATGAAAGAACACTGCACACATGGTGAATCACTGTGGTGGCTGCATCATGTACTTTTCTACCATGGAAACAGGAAGCTGGTCAGAGTGGATGAAGGAACGTCAATTCCGTTGAAATAATGTTATTTCTCCCCTAGGGCCAATTTTAAGTTCTGAGTCGTACAGTTAGACTGAAAAGTCATAACAGGCAACAAAATTCCTAAAATTCACACATGCTAATATATATAAGCAGACAGGAAAAAGTGTATTGTGATTTGTGACTGTGTACAGTGTGAAGTAATTCTGTAGCCAGTCAGATTAAAGCTTATTTATATGATAGAATGGTCTAGTCAAAGCCCAGATCGACATGACTGAAAACAAAAGAGGCAAAATTAAGTTAATTTGGAAATGGGATTTAAAGAAATGGTTTAAACATTTTCAGTACTTTGATCATTGTTGGGTTGGGTTATAACAAATAATAAACTTGATGTTATATGAAATTTGACACTCATGAAAGGGAAAAAAAACATAAATGGACTTAATGAGTAACACAGAATTAAATAAAGAAATCAATCTCAGAAATCAATCTCAGCCCAGTATGATCAGAACATCACTTAGTGAAAGATCACTCAAATATAACCTAAACCGAGACAGCCTGGATCAAGAGTGAAGCCTTACCTGCAAATAAAACAGTAGTTATCGTTTTTCCACTTTGTTGATGTTTTCTTGATTGTAGTGCATGCAGATGACCGATACACAGCAAATCACCTGGAACAAGCTGTAAATTGTCTTTATAAATTGAAGTACTTTTTTTTGTTTTTTAGAAAATCTAAGCTTTTACAAAAGCTTAGATTTTGTAAAAGCTTAGATTTTGTAAAAGCTTAGATTTAGATCTAAAGTCGTAATCGTATGATTACGACTTTAGATCTAAGTCATGATCATATCGTCCACTTAACCATAAAATACACTAGTTGATGTTGGAGGATGATGATGAAGCATGTTTTTTAATGACTTACCACATGAACAAACTTATATATGTGATTTTTTTCTTATTTAAAGGAAACGGCGTAATTGGAAAATTACTCTCTTTTTTACATTAGCAGAATACTAACATAAAAAAAAACATTAGTAAAATAGCTGTGTTTACTAGCAGAATACACAGATATTGTCAATGGCTCTTTGGGTGTCTTTCAACAACGGCTCTCGTGGTTCCATTTGGAACAACAGCTACCTGAACCCTGGCTTAGACATGGACATAGTAAACAAAAACTTATTTAAGCACAAATGTACAAGCGTGGACCTAAGAGGAGAAGCGAGCAGCACAGACGCTGGTGTGGCAGTTGCTACAGCACAGGGAATGAGAGAAGGAGTCGCAGAATGTACAAGACAAGACAAAAAACATTTTCTTTTTTTAGACCTTTCAGTAGACCCTCTACAGAAAGGTCTACTGACTTTTCAGTAAACCTTTTTTAGTTAAACTATTTGCAGTTTTAAGGTAATTTGTTTATTTCTAATTGACCATTTCCTTCATGCCAAACAGGATGAGTCTACAATCCCTTAGTCAGAAGTAATGAGGCGCTCTTCCTCTGTTTCCTCAGTTTTGCAATGTTGGCCTATAAGGCTAGATCTCAGTACTATCCTGACCTTTACTCTTGCACCATGTCAGGAGTGGAAAACAGTTGTGCTGATCAGATTGTCTGGTTTTGTGTTAAAGCTACAGTGAAGCAACATTGTTCCTCCACAACGCAGCCAAAGAGAAACCTAAAGGCTGACATAGAAAGAAGTTCCTGTTGTTTTATCTTGTTTCACTTTCTCCCAGCTGCCTGCATTTCACTTCCTGTCTCTGCTGGAGAAGAATATCCAAACATCGTCAAGCTACTTCTTCCATTTGTCTTGTCCCCTGAAGAGATTCATTCATTCATTCATTCATTCATTCATTCATTCATTCATTCATTCATTCATTCATTCATTCATTCATTCATTCATCTTTGTTTTTGCAGTTGTGCGATACTGTTTCCATTCTTGGATGATGGCCTGAGCAGTGCTCCTTCAGATATCTGCTTTAAGTCCTCCGCTCTTTCTTAGGCTGCTCCAAAAACAGAAAGTTGAGTATAGTACAGGGAATTCTGGGTAAATACAATCAAAACAAACACATCAGTCTTTAGCCAAAGACAAAAAAGAAATCCGACAACAGATAAAATTTGACGTCACTCCATTCTTTTTTCTTTTTGTAATAAATGAAGTTGTTTTCAGTTTCTTCTTTGGAGGTTTTTATGTCGTTTCCATCAGTGATTCTGGTACAGCGCTCCCACAGGGCAGAGGAGGAACAGGTTTTCAAACACTTTGGCTTATTTACAATGTAATAATTTTAGTTCCAAATCAAACCGATTTTTCTGGTCTATCAGCTGTCTTAGTCTTTGTCTCGCTGTTTAATCACTAATGTTTGCTCCGAGGCCTTCACAGAACAACTAGATTTAAACTGAGATGAAATGACTCATGGATAGGATGTTATCGGTAATTACATGACTTCTGTTGGCATTTTATTAGCGGTGTCAGGACAATGGAGGCAAATTTTTCTTCCTTCCACAAAGGAAATAATAACAGGCGAATGTTTGAACCGATGAAATGGGGTGGAATACTTTGGAAGAGGATTTTGCAAAAAGTTGAACTTGAGAGCGGGAGCCCTAAAATGGAGGTTCTATTATCTGTTAATCCTGAACATCCTCTTCATGAGACTTCCCTCTTCTAAGAAACGTCAGAGGCTTCTTTAAATTCGCTATAACACAGACTGCTATAGGACATCCTTCCTGCCCACATCACTATCAGAATCTTAAATTAATATCAGTTCCTGCAAAGTTTAATTTCCCTTTGGGAGTTTTTTTGGATGAATTTGAATTCTACAGAAAATGTAAACCCAGACGTTCTTTTTTTTCTTTTTCTGCAAAGTTCCTCGAAGCTCAACAGAGAAGTCCCGATACGACACGTCCTTAAACCTGACCACCAAGCGCTTCCTGAACCTGCTGTCGCAGTCGGCCGACGGCGTTGTGGACCTGAACTGGGCCTCCCAGGTTTTGGATGTCCAGAAGAGACGCATTTATGACATCACTAATGTCCTGGAGGGAATTCAGCTCATCTCCAAGAAATCCAAGAACAACATCCAGTGGCTGTGAGTGTGAGAGCAAATCAGACTGCTGGGGTAACTTCTGAATTTTAACCCAACTGTTGCTCTGCAGCGGCAACCGCATCGATGCCAGCCTTGTGTGCCGGCACAAGGAGCTGCAGAGGGAGGTGTGTGACCTGACTGAGGCCGAGGAGCAGCTGGACGAACTCATCTCTAAATGCACCCTGCAGCTGCGGCTGCTCACCGAGGAACCACAGAACAAGAAATATCCTTTTACTGCTTCTTGTGAATCCTGTCAGAGTGACCAAGTTTGATTCATCAGTTGGTTGGACGGTTGTACACCTGCAGAAATATTCATACTTAGGCCTGTCACAACAACACATTTAGCTGGACAATAGATAGTTCCAGAAATTATTGAGATGAATAATAATGTTGTTTTGAGACGATTTTCAACTAACTACGATAAAGCTGTCTTTAGATGCATGCATAATGATAAACAGTAATGTATTTCTTTTTTCTTTTGAAATAATCTGTATGGTTTGCTTATACAGTTCATGTTAACTTGAAAAATTTCTTTTTTTTTTGCACGACCATGTGGTGCTAAATATAAAGCTTTAGTCATTTTAGACTGCAACAATCAGAAAACAAGATTGTCAAGTATCTCAACCTGCAAACTGAAGGGTTAGCTCTTTAACTGATGCGTCCAGCAGGCTGGGCTACGTTCGTTGTCAGGACCTGCGGCAGTCATTCGACTCCCCAGACCAGCTGGTCATGGTGGTCAGAGCTCCTCCAGAGACCCAGATGCAAGTCACAGAGCCCACCGAGGTGAGGGCAGAGGAAACCCGCCTCAGGAGCTGCGATTCCATTTACCCTATAATTCAACAGTTTCACATTTTGAACATAAATGTGCTTAATGGAAAAACACCAATTAAAAAAAATTTACTGTTTGTCGATCAAAGTTAACAAGTGGTGTGAACAAACTTCATGTGTGAATTGTAATTTTGTTTCTTATTTAGTAGAAACATAGCAATTGCAAAATTTTCTTTTTTTCAACATTAGTGGAATATTGACCAAATCTGGACTTGTTTGTAATGGAGCTGAAGTGCATCAGTTCCTCCTGACTGAGCGGCAGTCCTTCATGTCGTCCGTCTCTCCTAGGGCTACCATGTGTCGCTCAGGAGCACGCAGGGTCCCATAGACGTCTTCCTCTGTCCAGAGGACAGCTCAGGCGTGTGCAGCCCCGTGACGGGAGGCAGCCCGTCTCAAAGCACCTCCGATCCCTCCCACAAACAACCCCCCACAGGATCCGTCGAGCCGGCACCACCGCCGGCCCCAACTGGAGCAGCGGCGCTGGACGTGGGCATGTCTTCTCCAGCGTCCACCTCATCCACGGTCACGGCGGCCTCCCAGCAGGAGGCTACGCCGCTGGTGCTCGGTGGGGACGCAGGTGAGAGTTCACACTAAGGTGTTTCTCACACACAATAAGATAAAGACCGACAGCAAACTCAACATGGCTGAACTCAGCCATGTTGAGTGACATAAGAGTGATGAGAACCAAAACCACAAGTACCTTATCTTCTATAAGGAAGATATGGCACTTCCATGAGGAAGTACCATATAGTAATTGTAAATAACATTAATAAAGTCACTGTTTGTTTTGCTGTTTTTCTTTTTTGTCACATTTTTTGACTTGTGAGATTTATACTGTTGAGACACTTATTGTCAGGAAAATACAGTAGTAAAGAGAAGGATGGAAAAATTCAACTGAGCTTTATAATAATCCAGAAAATATTTGAAACTGACATAAAGCCAAACCAAAAGTGGAATAAAGCAAAACTACAGAATCTATCTGGACAGACTGAAAAGTACCCAATTGGATTTATTCATTTTCTTCACTTTGGATACCAATTCTAGAAATATGTTTTATTAGACAACAATGAGATGCAACAATGTTACTGAATGTGCTTACATCGCAGGTTTGACAGGAATTTTTTTTTTCTTTTGACATGGTTAGTTATCTCAGAAATTGATCAATCACTCAGCAGGAAATACCAGTTTCACCACAGTGCTTTAACATAACTCTAACGTCTTTAGTGGTTGGCTGCGTTCATTGTCTTTTTTTTTTTTTACCTCTCGCTTTCGTCAACAGAGTCTCTCCTGGGGGGAGACCTGTTCTCCAGCCTGGGGGACATCGGCCACTTCGACCTGTTGCCTCTCTCGTCGTCGGACCTCCTGAACGGAGAAGGCCTTCCTCTCCCGTTGGACAGTTTTATCAACCTGTCCCCTCCCTACAGACACGACTATCACTTTGGACTGGAGGACCATGAAGGAATCAGCGAACTGTTTGACTGTGACTTTGACGACTTGTCGCACGTTTTGGGCGACGGGTAGATGGAGAAAAACGCGACTTAAATTGTTCCCAATTTAGGACTTTACCTTTCTGCTGAAGGAGAGCTGTGAACTAACATTTCACAGTCCAATCTTAGTTTTCCTTCCCTTTGGGCTCTGGGAAATTGCCTAGTTATGAAATCTCAAATTTGCCCTTAATTGTATATACCAATGTGAGCAAATCTCTCTGGCTATTTTTTTAAATTTTGACCAGGATTTCAGCTTTAGTATGGCTATTTAAATTATTTATATAAGTTTATTTTGATATTTTGTACCACATTGTTGGTTTAGGGTGTATTATCCAAGTAGACATTGGGCAGAGGGAGATTGGCGTTTCAATTTGCAGCAACATGACGTCTAGGATTTTGTTCTCTTAACACTGATTCCAGATGTTTGATATTGCCTCAAAGGTCTTCAGGTTGAGGAGTTTTGACTGTCAAGGGAAGATTGATGGCCTGCTATTAAAAAGCATCCCAGAGGTTTTCAGAATGAGAATCAGCAGGAAAGCACAAGGTAATCACAAGATTCTCCAAACACTGGAATCCTGCTAAACCAGATCATGTCATATCTATGATGAGATGTTTTCAAAGAAATTTTCATTCATTCTTCCTGAAGTTTTCTTCTCTGATTACATTGCAAGAATAATCTTTCTTAGAATTTATCAGTTTTGAAAACGTCTCTAGAGGAGAAACGGTGTCGAGGTGTGGGGAAACCAAGGGGTGACCGATGAGGAGGAATTTCTTAGCATCCTGGTAAAAAGAGGTTCAAAAAGACCCAATATAAATTCATCCTTTATTCTTGTGGCATAATCTCAAAACTGAAAAGTTTAGGAAAACAAGATCTTTATTTTGTTAAGAAATAATTGCATTCTAGTCAAGAAGTCTGAATTTCAACATGGTGACATCCATCCACTGCATTAGCTCTGACAAACATTTTAAGCTTTATTTTCCTTGAGTACCACTTTAAATTTCTTCATTGCATCATTCCAGGCTCTATATGTGTCATTGATTAAGATGCATTCTTCCACCTGTGTTCTGTAAACATGCTTCCATCACATCTCACTACTGTAGATGTTAGGAGTGGCCATATTGAAATGCAAAGTCCACCTTACAAGCTGTAACTCGGGGCAGTCGGAGTTACTAAGTTTCCTCAGTGGGAAATCCAGTTTCAGAGGGTAATCAGTTGGTTTTTCTGACTGGGAAGACATCATTTTCCATTTTTGAGTGCATCTATCATGCAACATTAGTCCACGGGTTTTCTAACAGATTGAGGTCTGGCCATTGAATATGCTTATATTGTGTCTGGTGAACCATTCCCATGTTGATTGGACCTGATGTTTGGAGTTATTATTATATTCTGACTGATTTTCAGTTCACTGTGAGTCCATCAGATCTTTTTTTTTATTCTTAACACTTGTTTTATACTCCACGTCCATATTGTCAGGGCCACAGCATCTCAGACTCTACTAGACTTCTCTTTCTTATGGAAAGGCTTCATCTCTTGCACCTTTGAGATGATATGCTGGTGTAGGTTCCCGGTCATCATTGACATGGCAGAAGGCTACTGGTCTTCTTCTGCTGTTTCACCTCTCCTCCATAAAGCTTCATTCAAAAAGCTTCTGAACATTGTTGGAAGTAGCTGTCGCCTCCCTCAACAATATTGTTGTTAAGGTCGTAAATATGGCAATTAGGACACGAATCACTAGCTACGTTTCCATTTAACATATTGTACAATTTGACATCTAGAAAATAAATGTGCAATTTCCAATCTTGAAAAAGCTTGTTTTTTGATCAAATGTTTTGGTGCTAGGATGGTGCAAAGGGTTTTGACCGTATAAAATTGGTTTAATTTGCAGAACTGCAACAGAAACACTATTTTGGCCTCATATGATCCACGAGCGGATGCTGCCACTGGTGCAAACTATGAAGAAGAAGGAAGCAGTTGGAGGATAATGGCACATGAATTATTCACGAGTGATTTTGAATTCCATTTCTTATTTAATAAAAACACTACAATTGCAAAATTGTGGGTTTTTTTAGACATCAGCACAATACCAACAAAGTTTTACTCACTTTAAAATGGATATGCAACTACTGGTGCTTCCCCTCTAAATGTTTGGATTGTTGTTGCTTTTTAGATGATGATCTCATTTTATGATTTCTAAATGGTTGTTATGCCTTGTGATCAACTGTTTACCAACCCACTGATATTATTCTTGTGTTGCAACAAACCACAATGAACTGTAAGCAGTAGAATGCTATCCTGGTGTCAGTGTTGATGTTTTGTGTCAGGTCAAAAATGAAGACGGCTGAATGATGAAGATCGTTGATCATCAGATAATGATATGCTGAGGATGGTGTTCAGCACCTTTTCTTGCATTTAAAGCACTGTGTGCATTAAAACTGTATGTTTGAAGCAAGAGAGGAGAAACCCCCGTAGAGATGTGACGCATACCGATCAGGTGAACCCTGAAAAGTAACACTGCCTCTTTGGTTCTGTAATCCCAGCGGCATGCTGTTAAACCACAACACAGGATTGTTTGTGATCTCTTCAGGTCGACTGAATGAAATGATAACGGGTTGCTCAGGGTCGCTCGTTTATTGAACTATGATCTGAAATGGTTTTCAGTCTCATCAGACCAATCCAAACATTTTCAGATTAAATTCAAGAAGAATTTTAGCAAACTTCATATATCTTGTCACGGAAGGACATTTTCCCCAAACATAAATGGCATATAATTGTTGTTATGGCGACTTGGTGACTCCGAGGTGACACATTTTGCAACTGTTGTCTGAACAGTGAGCTTTGGAGATATTTCTGCCCTTTTGGACCGTCCTTCTCACTATTGGACATACTAGTGTCAAAACATAATGGGAATGTGTGAATTGAAAACAATAGATTATGTTGAAACAACTACTTTTCTCTCTACATAATAAATTCTCTAAACGGCAGGGATTTTAATTTTAGATGAGATTATGCCGCTGCAATAAAAGATTTAAGTAAGGTTTTTTTTGTTTGTTTGTTTTTACCAGCGATGCCAAGAAGTTTGTTTCCATGGTGTGCTTCAAGAAGGGTTTTGTGTGTTTTATTTTCATTTACATGTCTAGCAGAAGATCTTAGACGTTCACCTGCTGGAAGACATGGAGCTTTAGTGTAAATCTCAAAGTTTACACAGTGGGCTGTGTATCACTCTGCGTTGCTGCTGGCGTTAGGAAAGATTAGGTGGAAGTTTCAGATTTGGGGAAAAAGGAAAGCAGAAACGAGGACGTCTTGTTGTTTTTCAGTAAATGCACTTCAGATCGGCTCAGTATTGATCATGCCTTAAATCAGTTAACTATCAGGTAGAAGGGAGTCAGTCGTCTTCATCTTGACTGAAACTCTTCATTCATGTTTCCCGCTTCAATTGCATCAAATTGCATCTTCATATTTGATTACAAAGCTTGGAGAAACTGTCCGCTTTCAGTTTAGATCAGCAATAAGGCATTTTCTCGATATATCAGTTGTTTCTCATGCAAAGTTGTACATGTAAAATCTTTGTCTTAAGTTATGTAAGCTAACCATTTTATTTTAATTGTTTTGCTTTGTAAGCATTGGTCTTTGATGTGTGTGAGTGTTTGTGTTCATATTTATTTTTTGTTCTGGAAAAGGGTTTAGGAGGCATAAAGGTACAGGTAAATTTCATTCTGTCTAGAGAGTAGAGACTTTATTTCAAATATCCCCCCAATTGTGATATTTTTGTAAATCTCTACCTTATTTTGTGCATATTTATAACTGAATGTTTTTCCCCGTCCTATTTAAATGACATACTGCATTTTCTCCACATTTTCCCATCGCCTCTGAGTGTCATGGGATTGGTTAATGACTCCTAAACAAGGTACAAATAACTTCAGAAAGATGGAAAGTTTTGTTTATTGATAAACATTTATTACTTTAAGCTTGAATTGTAAAATTGGTTTGAAACAAAAATATTTGTCACAAGTAGAATTTCTAATCTGAAATTAGCCATTTTTTTCAGTTTCATGCTTCAAACTTCTTTTAAAGTGTAAAATCTTTATAACTAATATTGTATTTTATCTTAAAATACAGTCTATAACATGTAACTATTGGGAATTTGTTTGTTCGGCCTTAAACTCTGAGCGGCAGATGACCTGTAGAGTTGGCAACGCCGTCCCTCCGTGTGATTTGTGTGTTTTTCTCTGCAGGACGAAGGCAGTGCCTTGTTGAGGTAAAGTGGTGATTGTTGAGCGTTTGTGTTGTGGTGAAAGAATGTGTGGTGTGCAGGTGGTGTTCGATAAAGTTTGCACCTTTTAAACTTTTTAAAATTTCAATTGTGTTGCAGTTGTAGAAATCAGAGGCTTGCATTATGTGAGAACGATTATAAATGGCTTTTTAAAAAAATACTGGGACAGGGATGTGACAGGTTATTCGGGAAAAGGACATTCAATCCAATTTTTATAACACTATGCTAAAATTAGATTTTTTATTTTCTGACAAAGTCAATTTGGGATACAAATGAGGACAAAAGAACTAGTATTATTTCAGTCTATGCTAATAAATATTGCTGTTTGCTATGTTATGGGAACCATACTCATGCAACGGCGTACTCATTGCTGCGTTTGTGTGTGTGTGTGTGTGTGTGTGTTTCCAGAGTTACAGATTTGTTTCAGTGCCCTTTTGTATCAAATTCTCCATGTCAATGTTTTTGACACAAATAAAAGTTGACTATTTTGATCTGATCTGTTTGCATCATCTCTTATGTGCTTTACACAGTTCTGCTCGGTTTGCATTCATTAGCAGATGGAAATATTGTAATAAAACAAACTTTATTTTCAAAATGGAAATTCCTTAGAAGTTATAAATCATTGTAAATTCAGGAGCAATTTTGTTATACTGAGAAAATGAGAAACGCAAAACTTGTTAACTTTCTGGTTATTACAAAGTAAATTTTTCATCTTGTTATAATGAAATCTAAAATATGTTAAAAGGCATAAAGTTACTCACTATGACTCCTTTTTTCTCCCAGTTTCTTCTAGACGACTTCTCAAAATCCCAAGCAGTGTTACTGTTTTTCTGTTACTTTCTTATATAAAACAATATAATACGTTTTAATGTGATATAAATTTTGTTCTATCAAGAATTTTAAAAAATCCGTCAAAACCAGTTTTTTTTTTTTTGTTTCATAAACTAGATCACATTCAGTAAGATTTTTCAGTGATTTGTGCTTCTCTGTCATTTTTCTTAGTTTTTATTTGTATTAATTTATGTTTTATACTGGAAAATGTTGTAAGCCATTTGTAACATGAAATTTGTTTCCAGCTCTAAATGATTATAAACCGCCAAAAGTATTAAAAGGCAGTGATTAAAACTTGAAATTTTACGATTAAAGATATTTCATGATTAAAGGACCCCAAATTCACAGGTTTGGGGTCCAGCTGTGAATTTTGATTGATCTGACAATTAACTTTTTGTGTAATCAATAATTGGGATTTTATGACAGAGGATTAGCATTATACTGAGAAAAATAACATGATCAAATTACATAAATAAACTTATATGAGCATATAGTTGAAATAATGAGAATAGTGAATAATGTGACAGTCAATGTGACAGTCAATATTTGCAGAATAAAGTAGTAGTATTATAAATATTCTCATAATACTACAACTTTATTCTCTTATTTTGTACTTTATTTTAGTATAATTTTCCTTGACTTTATTCTAACATGACATTTTCTTGTAATATAACATTTTTGTTTTATAATACTATGATTTTATTCCAGTAATTTAATATATTTTATTTTCTTAGCGTGGGTAATGCAGTAAATGAAGGTTAAATCTTTAGCATTAATGTTTTTAGGAAACAAAAACAAAAATAAGCCAATAGTCTGCATGAAAGATTAATATAGATCATAAATGTACATTGACTGTCACACACCATGTAGAAGCCACATTATGTCACTGCCTCTGTCATGTAGGTGACTAACATGAATCTGTATATAAGATCAGATCATCAACATGATTATTTAACACATTATTGTATTGATACCAAGAAAAAATAATTGCAGTCTTTTCAAATTCTATTACATCATGTACAGATCCATCCATTGTCTGTCGCTTATCTGGGGTTAGGTCACGGGGGCAGCAGCTTAAGAAGGGAGGCCCAGACTTCCCTCTCCACAGCCACTACTTTCAGCTCCTCCAGGGGAATCCCGAGGCATCCCCAGGCCAGCCGAGAGACATAGTCTTCCCCGGGGCCTCCTCCCAGTGGGACGTGCCTGAAACACCTTACCAGGGAGGTGTCCTGGAGGCATCCTGACCAGATGCCGAGCCACCTCAACTGGCTCCTCTCGATGTGGAGGAGCAGCAGCTCTACTCTGAGTCCCTCCCGGATGACTAAGCTTCTCACCCTATCTCTAAGGGAGAGCCCAGCCACCCTGCGGAGAAAACCCATTTCGGCCGCTTGTATCCAAGATCTCGTTCTTTCTTTGACCCAAAGCTCATGACCATAGATGGGGGTAAGAACAGATCGAACGGTAAATCGAGAGCTTTGCTTTTTGACTTAACTCTCTCTTCACCACGACGGACCGGTACAGCACCCACTTCATGGCGGATGCTGCGCCAATCCTGTTGATCTTCTGCTCCCTTCTTCCCTCATTCGTGAACAAGATCCCGAGATACTTGAACTCCTCCACTTAGGGCAGGACATCCCACTCGACCTGTAGAAGGCACTCTACCCTTTTCCTCAGACTTAGAGGCACTGATCCTCATCCCGGCCTCTTCACACTCAGCTGTGAACCGTTCCAGCGAGAGCTGCAGATCATGACCTGATGAAGCCAACAGGACTACATCATCCGCAAAAAGCAAAGATGCAATCCTAAGGCCACCAAAATGGATCCCCTCAACACCTTGGCTGCACCTAGAAATTCTGTCCATAAAAGTAATGAACAGAATCGGTGACAAAGGGCAGCCGTCACCGGAAACGAGCCCGACTTATTGCTCATATCAAAGAGCCCAGTACTCCATACTCCCGGAGAAACCCTCACAGGGCACCCTGAGGGTCAAGGTCGAACGCCTTCTCCAAGTCCACAAAACATATGTAGACCAGTTGGGTGAACTCCCATGCACCCTTCAGGACCCTGCTGAGGGTGTAAGAGCTGGTCCAGTGTTCCACGACCAAGACGAAAACCACACTGCTCTTCCAGAATCTGAGGTTCGACTAGCCGTCAAATAGTTGAAACTCGACGGATAAATAATGAGATAGTATCTCATTATTTTGAGATAGTATCTCATTATTTCGAGACAGTATTTCATTATTTCGATATAGTATCTCATTATTTCGAGATAACATCTCATTATTTCGAGATAGTACTTTATTATTTCAAGTTAGTAGTGAGATGTTTCTCATGGTATCTCATGAGCAGATGGTATCTCATTTTAATGATGGTATCTCATTATAATAAGACGGTATCATATTATAATGATGGTATCTCATTATAATGAGACGGTATCATATTATAATGATGGTATCTCATTATAATGAGATGGTATCATATTATAATGAGATGTTTTGAAACAGAACAATAACAGTGTGCAGTCAAAGGAGAAGAGGTAATAATAATTATTATTATATGATACCATCATATAATGAGATGCCATCTCATAATATGATTCCATCATCTTTATAATGAGATGGTATTATCTCATTATCATGAGATGATATCTTATTAAGGTCATTACTTACATAACCAAAAGCAAAGCAAACTAGAAGAATGTCTTAGAAGGCATCTATCATAATTTGGCCCAAACTGGGTTTAGGAATATATCTGTGTGTTCTTTTTCAATTATGTTTTACTTTCACGTCCAGAAGATGATGAAAAAAAGCCGAACACAGCAAAGATGACAAAAAAGTGACCATGTCTTTTAATGCTACACATTAATGTAACAAGATAACAACAGACATCTGTGTTGTGTGTCACATGCTACACCTTTCAAGCACTGCAGGTCTGTCTGTTCTTTTTCCAAAAAAGAACATATTGCTTGTCCATGAAAAGTCACTCCAAGCTAATACAACACAAGGTGGCTTGTATATGTGGATTGAAGTTAAAACATGATGTTCTGAAAAATTAGTTCTCTCTTTCTGTAGGTGTATAAACAGACTTCAAGGATGCTGTCTTATATTCTCGCTATCTTTCTCTCTTCTCTGCTTGTATCTCCTTCTTTTCCTTTAAAACTTACATATAATCACAGTGGTTGATTATAATTCATGGTTTATGCTTTTGATATTTCTTAGAGCTCCAAAATATGATGATATAAATGCTTTATATCTTTATATAGGGAATGGCATAATGTCTTTTATACCAGATATTGTGATAGTTTTTGTATTTAGCTGTTGAACAAGTGTGATTTTACATCGTTACTATATGATTATTTTGCACATAGTAGAATACCAAACATGTCTATTTTGAGAGATGTTTGGTATTCTGCCTGCTTTTGAAGAAAACTATTGTATCTCTGGAGCATTTCAGGGCTTTGGAGATGAACGCTCTCTCTGTTTGAGCTGAAATTGGAAGATTAAGTTTATCTTTTCTGTCCTCCAGGGTGGGTCTCCTTCAGCCAGGCGAGAAGATAGAGAAGAAAGTGTCCATCAAGGCCACTTCACATGGAACTAAGCTGGTCGTAGCTACTTTGTCACACAGCAACAACAGCAACCACAAAGTTTCTATCAGGGCCACATGATTATGAATGTATTTTGCCAAACTCAGCTCAAGCCAAAATGTGAACGTCTAAATTCACTTAATTAAAACATTTTAAATATTTGTATAAAAATTGCAATTCACTAATAAAACAAGACATTTAAATAATAAATTGACCACTGATGCTCAGCTGTTACCATAGAAATACAAGGCATTGCCTAGTTCAAATGAGTAATTTTTAAAATTTTATCCCTAAACAATTTTGAAACAGAACAATAATAGTGTGCAGTCAAAGGGGAATGTTGCAAGTGACTATAAATACCCCAGACATCAAGAAGTATCAAATCACCTGTAAAGGTTAACAGGCCTGGAGAAGAGCAAACAAACGCTTAAAGAAACAGTTCAGATTTTACTCTGAAATTCGGTTCTATTCATTGGATTTGAGCAGTAAATAGTAAATTATATTAGCATTTTTACTTCAAAGGTTTTATTTTGAGTTTAAGCTGTTTTAGATGGGTTAAGGTTTACAGCACAGCAGCCTTTCTTGCTTGTTTATCCTCGTGTTTCCACGTCAGTCACCAGGACAAAAAAGAAATGGCCAGTTCAAGAATGAAGCCAAAAAAAGTCCCTGGACAGGTGGCGGCACTCTTTTCATTTGCCAAGGTTTTTTTTTTTTTTTTTTTTTTTTTTTGAGGTGGGAGTGTGTTGAGCATGTTTGTTTTTATTATTATTTTAATGTAGTCACACTCCTATAAAATAGTGAAATAAATTAATGGAATATTTAATAAATTAAAATTAAATGTTTTAATTTTGTTATTTTCCATTCTCAGTTTTCTATTTCCACATATTTCAGACTGTTTCACATGGAGGGTAATTCCACATTTTTTCAAACAGATGTATATTTTGGAGTCCCAACTCCAACCAGAGAGAAACTGTGGAGACAGTGGCAGATTAGGGTGATGGCAAAGAGGCTTTCCAACCTCTACGACTTGGAGATAAATCCTGAGATTCAGAAAAAAGGTGCTTAGCATTTGTTAAAAAATG